ACCGTCCAATAATTATATATCTGTGTGTGTCTGTCTGTCTGTGTGTGTGTATGTGTGTGAGTGTGTAATCCGGAGTGCTAAATCCGAAACACAAAAATAAAAAAATTTTATTCTTTCACCGAATAATAATAATAATAATAATTGAAGAAATAATTAATTAATAGAAAGAGGAGTTTTTTAGAGAAAAAAAAAATGACTCAGACTTTTAATTAATAACGGATACAACGCGAAGTTGAATTTTTTTTATGTATTATTATTATTATTATCATTAATAAAATTTAAATTTTGAATGCTTAATTAAAAGAATAATTCCCGAATTAAAAATGTTATACATGTTAGAACGTAAGAAAAAGTTTAAGCGTAAGAAAATTTACGATTAAAAAAATACATAAAAAAAAAGAAATTACAAATTATCACACGAAACTTACCTAAACCTTAAATGATAATAATAATAAATCGCATGAAAACCTAAGAGAATAAATTTTTTTTTTTGTTTATAGGCAATAGTTAGATTAATTCGTTACCACATTAAGCCACATTTAAAATATATATATTGTTATGAACCCATGTCGGATGTGGTGTTTTTTGATAAATGAGTGGGAATGGTGACTCCATTCACATGGTAGACGCAAAGTCAGCATGTCTGGAGATAGTGATTCCATTCACATGGTAGACGCAAAGTCAGCATGTCTGGAGATAGTGACTCTATTCATATCATAGACACATAGTCAGCATTTCTGGAAGCTTCGCTTTTCTTATCTAATCTTAAGTGCTAGTGAATGAATAATGTCTAGCGATAGTCAGAACTTATAAAAGGAGGCTGAACGTCTCAGCCATGGTTCTTGTTTCTCAGCACTTGGTTCTTGTTGCACAACTCTTCGTTCTTGGTGTTCGACTCTTAGTTCATCGGTTTCTCCTGATATCTTAGAGTTCAACTTGTGTCTAGGTCTAGTTTTGTGATAGTGTTTACAACTAGTAGTGTTCATAACATTATTTTAGTGACTAATTTGTTCTGTACATGTAACATGTTGTAAAATGTTCTTCTGTTGCTTACAATCAATATAATTCTTCTTTCGTTAAAAGTGTGTTCGATTTCAATCTTGAATAATACCACGAACGCGGAGGAAGATCAACGTTGTGAATCGATAATCGAATCGGGCCACGACATATTTATGGCGCAGTCGGTAGGATATTTCTGAACAACAGGAAATCAGAAGGATTTAAAGTAATTCTTTTCGTGTTGTTGGGTTTCAACTCTTTATCAGAAATTCTTTTTGTATTGTAAGTAAGTACAGATAGTTACTCATTTTTGTTGTGAACAATGCCTGGAACTGGTCAACCTGTTTTCGACCCATCCCAAATATCCCTTGATTTCTTGTGTAGTCTAGTTCCTAATTTCTTTTCCGGAGAAGGGAACCAAATTGATGCATTTATCTCTGATTGTGATAATGCTTTTGAACTGTCCTCTGAAGAGAATAAGTACCCACTCTTCAGATTCATCTACTCCAGAATCACTGGTAAAGCCAGGATTCAAATTTCTTTGTACGACTTTGATAATTGGGATGATGTAAAAACAAAACTAATAGAATTATACCAAGACAAGAAACCCCATAGTCAACTGATAGAAAGGTTGACAAATTGGAAACAAGAATCAGCATGTATCCACTATGAGGATAACACAAGAAAATTGTGGGAAAAACTTAAAATTTTAGAAGTTACAAAATCAAAAACTGAAGTTAAAGAGAAAACAGATCCTTTACCAGAATCCAAACTTAAAGTTGAAGAGAAAACAGACCCTTTACCAAAATCCAAACCTGAAGTTGAAGAGAAAACAGATCCTTTACCAGAATCCAAACTTGAAGTTAAAGAGAAAACAGATCCTTTACCAGAATCCAAACTTGAAGTTAAAGAGAAAACAGACCCTTTACCAGAATCCAAACTTGAAGTTAAAGAGAAAACAGATCCTTTACCAGAATCCAAACTTGAAGTTAAAGAGAGAACAGATCCTTTACCAGAATCCAAACTTGAAGTTAAAGAGAAAACAGATCCTTTACCAGAATCCAAACTTGAAGTTAAAGAGAAAACAGATCCTTTACCAGAATCCAAACTTAAAGTTGAAGAGAAAACAGACTCTTTACCAGAATCCAAACTTGAAGTTAAAGAGAAAACAGATCCTTTACCAGAATCCAAACTTGAAGTTAAAGAGAAAACAGATCCTTTACCAGAATCCAAACTTGAAGTTAAAGAGAAAACAGATCCTTTACCAGAATCCAAACTTAAAGTTGAAGAGAAAACAGACTCTTTACCAGAATCCAAACTTAAAGTTAAAGAGAAAACAGACCCTTTACCAGAATCCAAACTTGAAGTTAAAGAGAAAACAGATCCTTTACCAGAATCCAAACTTGAAGTTGAAGAGAAAACAGATTCTTTACCAGGATCAATTCCTGCTCAAGAGGAAAAAGCACCCTCTACAAATTTATCTAAGAAAAAGGCTAAAGAAGCACCCTCTACAAATTTATCTAAAAAAAGGGCTAAAGAAGCACCCTCTACAAATTTATCTAAGAAAAGGGCTAAAGAAGCACCCTCTACAAATTTATCTAAGAAAAAGGCTAAAGAAGCACCCTCTACAAATTTATCTAAGAAAAAGGCTAAAGAAGCACCCTCTACAAATTTATCTAAGAAAAAGGCTAAAGAAGCACCCTCTACAAATTTATCTAAGAAAAAGGAAAGACAACCCTCTACGAATTCATCTAAGAAAAAGGCTAAAGAAGCACCATTACTTCCTAAAAATAAAAATAAAAGAAAAGGTCCAAAAGTAAAAGAAGTGAAAACAAAAGGAAAAGAACGATCATCCATACAGAATCCAAAGGCTAAAATTCACAAGGATAATTTTGGGAAGCATACTAAAAAGCGGAAATGGAATTCCAGTACCAAGAAAACCAGGAAGAAAGCAACTGTTTTTATATCAACTAGTTTTCACGAAAAGACTATTCCTGAAGTAAAGCTGTTTTTACCGAGTAAAGTTCAGTTATTGCCTAACGAAGAAGACGAAAAAGGTCAATTGAAAAACAGCTATCCAGATCCTGAAAAAGTTCCAAGAGAAAATCTAAATAAAAATAAAATTAAGTCTAAACAAAATTACTACAATATTCCCAAATTTAAAGGACCCTATGAAATCAAGAAAGTAACTGGTAGCAATATCCAATTTAAAAATCCGTAATAAGTTAGTTACTTATCATGTTAACAACACAAAACCGTGTTCTAAGTAGATGTAAAAACTTATTTTTCCTTTTTAACTTTATCCAGTCATAACCTAATCCTTTTGTGTTCACAATTGAGTATTATCTGGAAAATATTTCCACTACTTACAATTTCAATTTAGAATCATGTTACTACGAAACAGAACAAGATATCCAGTCATAGCATCTACCCGAGAACTTCTCATCTTAGACGAATTCTGCAAGAGTCAGCAAAGGAAAATTTCCAATTTCAACCAGAGGAGAAAACAAATTTTTTCTTTTCCCAAAAAGGAAAAATTGTTTTCCTTCTTAAGGGGGGAGGTGTTATGAACCCATGTCGGATGTGGTGTTTTTTGATAAATGAGTGGGAATGGTGACTCCATTCACATGGTAGACGCAAAGTCAGCATGTCTGGAGATAGTGATTCCATTCACATGGTAGACGCAAAGTCAGCATGTCTGGAGATAGTGACTCTATTCATATCATAGACACATAGTCAGCATTTCTGGAAGCTTCGCTTTTCTTATCTAATCTTAAGTGCTAGTGAATGAATAATGTCTAGCGATAGTCAGAACTTATAAAAGGAGGCTGAACGTCTCAGCCATGGTTCTTGTTTCTCAGCACTTGGTTCTTGTTGCACAACTCTTCGTTCTTGGTGTTCGACTCTTAGTTCATCGGTTTCTCCTGATATCTTAGAGTTCAACTTGTGTCTAGGTCTAGTTTTGTGATAGTGTTTACAACTAGTAGTGTTCATAACATTATTTTAGTGACTAATTTGTTCTGTACATGTAACATGTTGTAAAATGTTCTTCTGTTGCTTACAATCAATATAATTCTTCTTTCGTTAAAAGTGTGTTCGATTTCAATCTTGAATAATACCACGAACGCGGAGGAAGATCAACGTTGTGAATCGATAATCGAATCGGGCCACGACAATATATATAAAGAAAAAATATAAATTTTAAACAGCTTTGCTATAGAATTGTAAAAAAAAAAAAAACGTTAAAAATTATTGTTTTTCATTTTCATTTAGCCTCTTACGATGATGGTTAATAAAAATCGATTTTCATTTATTTTTTCTTATTTATCAGAAAATACCCATAATTATATGTAAGTTATTTTACCGTATTTACTTATTTAAAATTAAATATTTTTCACGCGTTAAAAAAAAAAATAATAATAATTTTAATAGTAATAATAAAATTTTCAATAACTTAACATAATTCGTTTTTGTTACTTACACATGTATGCGCGTGTTTTTACGTGTGTATAAGTGCGTAAAAAAAAACACACACACACACGCGCGCACATAATATATACATATACACGGACGCACGGATAAATTTTCATAAGCATACCGAAAAAAAGCAAGTTAGCCATCCTCTAATTGTCATTGGCAATATGCTATCAAGCGTATCGACATCTTTTGAAAATCTATTGAGTACCCGACCCAACGGAGTTACATCGAAAAACCCGTTAGGGGAACGTACAACACCATGAAGAGTAGAACCATGAAGTATCCTTGCGGCAGAAAGACATCCCAATTGGAGGAACACCGATGCAAACAACGTCGTCAAGACTAATTAAAAACAACTACAATTAACAAAACTAAATCTGGAGAGAAATTTTTTTTTTTTTTTTTACAACATTGAAAACGACATAAAAACAAATCTAAAATAAATTTTTAAAAAAAAAAATCCAAAATGTGACCAAAATAAATAAAGCCATTCCGAATAGTATAATACCCAATGTGATCTAACGTGATTTACCGAAAAAGAAAAAGACCATAAATAAGTAGTTTTATTGCCAGTATCAAAACATGGCATTCAAAAGTTATCGATAACACGATATCTTTCTTTCCTAATTAATTTTTCTCTTATATTCCGTCCTACGAAAAGTTTTGTCGTCAGAATAAGTTAGTGATTTCAAGTTGTTGACGTCGGTTACTCAACTACGTATACACACACACACACACACGCGCGAATCGATGGTTATATATTCTTCCTATAGAATTTGCCAGTCGAAGACACGATGTTAAAACGAAGCTAACAAAAAAATTACTTTTAAAAAAAAAAAAAATTACTGATGATAGAATAACAACGAACGTTTCAGTTTTTTCTTCCCCCTCAAAATATTTTAAAACAAAGCTTTAAAAAAAATTTTACTTTTTTTTGAATACACTTGTTGTCACCCTCATTTATACACACGCACATGCAGACACGTATATATAGACTGTATGTGTATATTATATGACTAACATAAATTTTATATTTTTAAAGTTTAATTAAAAAAAATGATTTTTTTTTTTTTTTTAAATTCAATAGTTATGAAGTAGTAAATATGTTCATCGACCTTTTGAAGTCGTTTTATATTTCATATGAAAAAAAGGGTTGGATAAAAAACAAACTCCGTTCTATTTTTTTTTTTTTTAAGAGAGAGAGAGAGACAAAAAAAACGGTGCGTATTCCAAAAAATATAAGAATATTCAAACTATGTAAGAAAAAAAAAAAAAGAAAATTATTTTTTTTTATCCAACCCAAAATTATTTACGTTTCAGATTAAAAAAAATTTTTTTTTTTTTTTAGAATAAAAATAAATTAATTATATAATTAATTAATTTTTATTCTAAAATTGGTATATTGCTTTAATAAAACCCGCCTTCCAATAATCGGGGGGGGGGAGGATTTTTCATCCTTTTAAATTGTTATAACTACAACTTTGGGCTACAACAAGCGATTCAATAACACATAAAACAAAATTCATTTCATTTTTTTTTAAATTTATGTTAAATTTGAAAATAAAAAAAAAAATAAAAAACTTTTTTCTAATAAAAAATTAAGTTAAACAAATGAATATCGTATGGCAAAAAAAAAACGATTAATTTGATTTGATTTTTTTGTTTTTTTTTTTTTTTTTTTCTAAATTTAAATTAAAATGTTGTTTTTTATGATAAAACAAAATCAAAATCTCATAAAACGTGATATGTTAGTTATGATTATTATTATAATGCATTTCTTATTTTTAACGTAAGAAAAAAATTAATATATTTATGGGTGTATATAAATTACAATCGTATTTATACTGTTCAAATCGAGAAATACTAATTAACCTTTTTTGTTTAAAAAATTAAAATACGATTGAACGAATTATTATGATTCTTGTTTGAATACTCTCAAGTTTTTTTTTTTTTTCCTAACGATAACAACCTCGAAACCTAAACTCGTATTTTGAAATACGAAACCATACGATTGATTTTATTTTATATTTGCACATCCGTAATAATTTAAAATCAATAAAATTTTTTTACTTAAAAAAAAAAAAAAACAATGAGAAAAAAAATAAAAATATCTTACCTTGACCAATGCCGAAACCTCCATAAACACCTAAATACAAATCCCGCTTTTCAAAATCGGACGTTGTGTTTGATGCTTCATTTTCAATTGTCCATGAATTTAACCAAAAATTTGCACCTATGGAAAACACTTGAAACAAAACGTTCATAACTATTGAAGATACCGATAATATTATTCCTACAGATTTCAAATAATATGAATACACTCCCCATTTTACCTGTAATAAAATATTATTTAATTAAACTTATGCAGGATAAGAAATTAATTTTTTTTTGTAATTCATATTTTTTTTCATATTACATTAAAAATTTTAAAATTCAATTCTAAAGAAGCAATTAATTTAATTGAGTAAATTTTTTGAATCGTTCAATTAAAAATACAAAAATAAATAAAAAAATCAAAGAAACACTATATCGAGTGCAACGTGATTCACGGAAAAATTTTTAGTTGTTTTATCGTTTATAAAAAATTAATAATTACGAGGAGCAACAGTAAAATTAAAATGTGTCGCATGGAAAAACAAGAAGTCAATAAAAATTACTTACACTGCCAACTTCCGACTTTTCTATTTCAATTAATTTTTCACCGGCTTGTTTTTTCATAACGGTGCCATTGCCATTTGCGTTAAGTGAACTTTTCCTTTTGTTTTTTGATTCTGTGAGACTCCCCACAGATGTTCGCCTGTCTATTGAATCGGATTCACCTCTGGATTCTGATCTTTGCCTTTGAATTCCTTTAAGAGTTTCGACACCGACGGTTTCTTCTAATTGAATCTTTATTTCCTTTATAATTTAATTTAAAACAAAACAAATAATTATAATTACATTTAAATTTTTATATACGACAATAATATATTTTTATCCGTCATTTAAAAAATTTAAAATTTTACCCTCGCGTAACATCACGGAAAATAAATTTTAACTCACTCTTATCAAAATTATAAAAACAAAAAAAATGTTATTTTTTTTCTTACTTCAAGCTCGACGTCCGTAACTTCATTATTTTCTTGTAAATGTTGTATCAAAAACTCGGCAAAAGCTCCCTTTTTATCTAATAGTTCTCTATAAGTTCCGATTTCTGATATTTCACCGTCCGTAAGAACGACAATCATATCAACTTGTGGCAAGTACGTAATGCCGTGTGTCACTAAAAGTCTTGTTTTATTTTTTAATATTCCGTCCAAACCGATAACTTTTTCAAATATGTGTTTTCCCACGTGTGAATCCACAGCCGAAAGAGGATCATCCAAAAGATATATATCCGCATTATAATAGACAGCTCGAGCAAGGCTGACTCTTTGTTTTTGCCCTCCAGATAAGTTAATTCCTTAACAACAACAAAAAAATATTTATATATTTATTTATTTTTTTTTTTTAAACGAAATGTAAAATTATTGAGATGCTTTTAATAAATATAAAATTAAACCTTTTTCTCCTATTTCCGTAAGATCTCCTCCCGGAAGCATTTCTAAATCTGGTTTAAGAGCGCAAGCTTCTACTACTTTGCTATATAAATTTGAATCCAATGTTTTTCCGAAAAGAATATTATCACGAAGTGTGGCATTTTGTATCCACGCTTGCTGAGGTACATAGGCGACAGTACCTTTAACATTTACTCTACCGGATAACTTTTCCATATCCCCTAATAGAGATGAAATCAACGAACTCTTTCCGGATCCTACTGAGCCTACCACAGCGACGAGCTTCCCAGGCTTCACTTGTAAATTTATGTTTCTTAAAGTTGGCTTTTCCGATTGTTCCCATGAAAAATATCCGTTTTCAATGAGAAGAGGTAAAGCTGAAAAAAAAAAAAAAAAAAAAAAGAAAAAGGGAAAATAAATAAATGAGCATTGTGACAAATGTAACATTTAAGGATACATGACATAGACTTACAGTTTAAATCCTCGTGCGTTACGTTGCTCGGATCTAATTCATCACAATTCATAAATTTATTTATTCTATTAACCGAAACTGAAGTCTGAAACAAAAAACATTTAAAATTTTTAATTAATAATTAATTAAGCATTTAAAGAAATTTTCAAATTTCTGTAAATTTTTCGAATTATAATTTTAAATATTTTACCAAAGTTATAAACGAATCGAATTTTAATTTAAACAAATAAATAAATTTAATTAATTAAAAAAAAAAAACTGTGTAATTTAATAAATATATATATATATATATTGACTGACCTGTACTAAATTAGAAATTATCATTGGCATCATAGGCAATGGAAACCTTAAAATGTTAAAGTAAGACAAAGACACGAATACTTTTTTTGCATCTAATATATTGTTTTCATCTGATAATACGTATGTTGCAAAGGTAACCAATGAAACCTATCAACAAAAAGAAATTTATTTTTAAAATTTTCTAAAATTTAAAACAAAAAAAAAAAATTTGTGTATCACATCACATTCAATCCTATTTGAACTTTGAACCGCAAACCGTGAGCTGAAATAAATAAATATTAAAAGAAAAAAAAAAAAAAAAAAATTGTTAATAAATAATTAAAATATTCGACAATAGATTGTTGCTGTCATTCTTATTAAAAATTATTCACCTGCAAAATTTTACATTCTTTAAATAAAAATAAACATAATATTATTTATTAAATGATTTTAGAACATGTGTCATGATCAATAATAGTACATGTACATAAACATATTTATACTTTTATAAAAATTTCAAAAAAAAAAAAAAAAGAAAAGAAAATTATAGAAAATAATGTATAGAGCAATGAAAAATACCAGCAATGAATTTTTTCTTTTCATATTTTTAATCAAACTAATCAAAAAAAGCTTAAAAAAAAAAATTCAAATTTAATAAAAGCTCAAAAAGTAAGTTTTCACATAAAGATGATATTTAACAAAAAATAATTTTTCAAACGAAAACTATTTTTTCTCGGATTACTGTATGCTTGCTCGCATCCCGTCGCAACATAATCATTGGAAATATTTATTAAAATAAACTAAGTTTGACAGAGAGCAACAAAGGCAATATCAGCAGGTAATTTATTTTGATGAAAACATAAAAACCAAAGGTGCAAAAAAAATAAAAAGAAACCTAGAAGAAATGTGACGGTTTCTCTATAAAAATTAAACTTGGTCTTTAGGTAAACGAAAGCAAATAAAAACTTTCACTCATCTTCAATACATTACCAAGAAAGGCGCACACGACCAAATAAAACTTGAAACTGCATTATAATAAGCGGCATATTTCAATTGAGTCACTTCCTTAGCGCGAATTTTAAGAATTTGTTCTTCAAAAGATGGTTCCCAAGCGTATAATTTAATGACTTTCATTCCTCCTAAAACTTCATTTGTTAGCTTAACCCGTTCATCCTTATACTTCATTTGTTTTATTTGTAGAGTTTTCATTTTACTCGCCAAAAACCCATTGACAGGTATTATAATTATCATTACGGCGACTCCAGCTAATACAGAAGGACCTATTTTCATAAAGCAAAATAAAAAAATAAGAAAATAATTAAAATTAAAAAGATACAGTTTTATTTCATCTGGAGTCAGTTAAAATATTTTAAATATCTAAATTACTACGCCAAATCAAATTGAACGTCATGATATTATTGTCATTTAAAAAAAAAAAAAAAAAAAACATTGATTGAGATTTTTAAAAAACTAAAAAAACTAATATAATTTCATCAAGAAGAATTTAAAACAACTCAGAAAATATTTAAAATTGGTTTTTTCCACATAGCACTTTAAAATAAGAGTAAATATTATTGTTTTTTCCTTCGATCAATTATTTTAATGATATTTAATTTCACGACAATTTGTTTCAAACATAAAATTAATAGAATTTATTTGACTAAAAGGCCCACCATTCATAATTAAGCTGCTGATATTCAGCTTTCCTATTCCTGGCAAAACGGGAAAAATAACGAATAATTTAATAGAAATTTTTTTATTCTCACAAAAAAAAAAAATGTGCCAGAATCCTTAAAAAGTTAATATCAATAAAAATTTGAATAGTTAAATTATTTCAAAACGCGGTTTCTCAATTACATTTTATAGTAATATAGAAAAACAAAATATGGAAAATGATATAAAAATAAATAATTGTGTAAAAACTTACCCAACAAGCCCCATAAAAAGTATAAGGCAAGTGATATTTGCAATGGTGCAGACCATATCATATTGATATAAATGAGCAAATCCATAAATCTTTGAGCGTCAACAGACATCAAATTCACTATTTCTCCGACCGTTGATTCTTTTCGAGCTACTGTTGACATTTTAAGAGATTTTCGATAAATTGCCGATATAAGAGCTGTTCTGATTCGTAATCCTACTATGAACATCCGACGAAAATATTGAGAAAGTACTAAAGTTTGAAATATTGAAGCTAAAAGCATTGAAAATGCAAAAAGAAAACCTTTCCATTCGTAATCCGATTCATTCTTTATGTAGCCTGCAAGCAAAAAATTATGACCGTTACCAGTTTTTAACTCCTTAAACAATTTATATAATAAATGAAAACAAAAAAAAAAAAAAAAAGTTTACCAATTAAATATTTTAATAACTGAGGATTAGCAAATGTAAGCAAATCGTTAACAACTTTAAGAGCGACCCCGAAAATAAATGTGGGACCAAAAGCTTTGCACAGGGCAGGTACAATTGAGACATATTTTTTTTTTTTTTCCTCTCTTCCACTAATAAACTCTACACTTCCACTCTTTTTCAAATACGAAGCTTTTCTTTTGGTCGAATTTCTAAAAAATAAAGGGAAATAAGATTATTTAAATATTTTTCGGAAAAAAAAAAATGTTTGTTAAACTTACATTAAATTTCCTTTTCTACTTTTTTCCCAATATCTGTCAAACAAGGGCACTATATGTCTGGCAGTATCTTCAGGATTCATTGGCCATAAATCGCTTGTTTCTAATGGTTTTTTATATCCCAACCAAATAAGCTTATCAAACCAAGAAAAGGTTAATTTTGATAATGCAGAACATCTTTCTTCTGGAGCTGGATTTTCCTACAAAGTAATATGAAAAGAAAAAAACACAATTTCTTTTTAATTTACGTTTAATACGGTTTTTAAAAATAATTTTTTTTTTTGTAATATTTTCGGCCCTATAATATATATTAAATTTTATACTCACTTTACTAACAGGGTCATCTACGTATAAAGGAGGCTTATCAGCAAAACATGCTAATAATAACTGCATAAGTACGAGGAAGTAATAAATGACGTAACTTAAAAAATTATAAGTTTTAACATAATCATCAGATTCGCTCATTACAGCCTTCATTATTTCTGAACGAAACTGTATTGCTCCACAAATTGACAAACACAGCCAAAAGTAAAATAATACTGAAGAAGCGACCATTCCCATTTTTCGATTATAAAATATAAGTATCCCTGCTAATAACTGAAAATAAAAATTAAAAAATTATCATTAAATTATATCAATAAGCCAAAAAAAAAAAAAATTTAAATTAAATTAAAATAATTATTATACGTAACATACTTACAAAGGTAAAAAATTGTATAAAAGGAGTTAAGTAGCAGACGCTAAGAAATGAATAATTTCTGGCAAGTGTAGCTTCATTGAGGGCGTCTGAAATACTTATTAAACACAATGTGGCAGTGATGAGAATTTTTGTTATATTATATATATTCCAAGGCACATTTCTGGCTTTACTATTCATCAAATAATAAGCTTCTAACGAAGAAAATATCCATAAAAATAATGAAGGGCCCCAAATTAAAGAAGTTCGCTGAAAGCATAATGTGAAATCCGGATTGCTTGTATTCCAAGACAAAGTTTCATTCTAAAATTAAAAAAAAAAAAAAAAAAAAAAAAAAAAGAAAATTATTAAGGATATTAAACAAAATTAAAATGGTTAATTATTTAATAAAGGTAACCCCGCGTAAAATTATTTATATATAAAAGATCTCCGCGTTCAGTTGTTACCCAAAAATCACGGAAACGTAAAATTAACCGCTATCCGCAGACGTGAAATTTCCCCGCTTCCGGTTCCGTATTTAAAATTTTTGTTTTTAACTTTTGTCAAAAAATTAACCGACTCAGTAATGATTTCTTGATTTCCTACCGGGGGTGGACAATTTGAATTTAAAATTTATTCAGAGTTTTTAAAACTCGACGTTAAAAATGACGGTATATTTTCTTCTTACGATCGTTAAATGTATATAAATGCTTAACTATAGGCCTAGAAACTGACAGTTTCACTATAAAATTTGGGTAGAGTTATTTAGATCACTTTTATTCTCAATCAAAATTAATTATGGGTCAATGAAAACTCGAATTTGTTTTTAATAAGAACATTGGATGAGTTTAATTTTAAATTTTAGGTAGCATAAAGAACTTTGAAAAAATTAAACTTTATTGTTCCTCCACATAAAGAATTTTAAAAATTTTAAATTTACTTTTGTAATTTGAAACAGTAGTTTTATCGATTAGTAAATTGATCAGTATTGTGTAAAAGGGGGAAAATGTTTTTTTTTTTTTTTTAAATTCGAAACGAACATAAAAAATGAGAGTGACTTCGATATACGAATCGTTTGAAAAACAAAATTTAAAAGTAAAAGAATATTATTAAAAGATTATAATTAAAAAAAATTTTTTCCAATTTTTTTTGAAGGGCGTCATATGTTTTATAAAAATTTAACGTGGTTACGTAACTGTTAATTCCAATATTATGAAATATTAGATTATCTTGTATAAATCTTTGATGAAAATAACATCTCTCATTTACCATACAAAAAACAATAACCTAGATAAGAATTCAGTTTGTAAAATGACATTGTTTAACTTGCTTTCTGTCATCACTGTCACACACTAATGAGAAATTAGTATATTGCTCTTTGTAATTTAAAATCTCAATTAAATAAAAACAATGAAGTCTTGTAATTATTAAATAATTACAAATAACACTGATTATATATTTTAAAATAAAAAAAAACAAGTCAAAAAGTGTAATATATATACGATAATTATTGTATGTTGAATTCGAAATCTCATTCTCTAAATGATAGAAAATTTTTTTTTTTCACAAATGGAAAATGCTGAATATAAATTATATTTTATTATATTACAAAATTTTAAAACTTTGCTCAAAAAAAAAAAAAAAATTCTAATATAACTTGTCTAACACTAATATAAATTTTATAAATTAAAAGTAAGGGATTTTAAAAAATTATAAATGTTTAAAAAAAAAAAAAAAAAAAACATTGTTTACCTGCTTTATTAGCAGTAGAAATAATTAAGGATATTTTACTACGAAATTAAGCCAATAAAATACATTTTAATGCTGCATCTTTTACCAAAAAAAAAAGTCTATAGTTATTATTTCACTCAAATTTAATATTACACTAACTCATTAATTATGAAAGAAAAAAAGTTTATAACTAAAACAATGTAAATTTTGAGTATAATTTTATGTAAAATACTAACAAATATTCGAATAAGTTAAAAGCAAAACTATAACAAACATGAATAATTCAATTTCAAAATTTGAGATTTTCATTTTATTTAATTTAAGAAAATTATATTTAATCTTTTTAAAAAAAAAAAAAAACTTAAATGCAAAAATTAGTTGAATAAAATTTATCAGATTGTTATTCAGAGTAAAAATAAATTAAGTATTTATTTACTAAGTTTATAGAAACAAATATGTTTCTATTTATTTTACTAATAAAATTAACTTTTGTATTAAAGTAATTGATATGAGATTTGATAACTTTGATAAAATAGTACGTTTAGTAATGAATCATTAGCAATGTTAAAAATACAAATTAATTTTTTTTTTAAATTTATGTGAAATTTTAATTCATTTAATTAGGAATCTATTAACTGTGCACCTCCTGTAAAATTCGATTTTGCACTTTACCTAATCAATCTAATTAATTTTTGATAATTAATAAAAATTGAGTACTCGAATTCTTATACAGATAATATTAAGTTAAGACGATTAAAACGTTATAATTAAATCCAAACAAAAATTAATTCTTTGCATCTATCTTATCTTTTAGTTTCTAAAACATTTAATATAAGTGTAATTCATACCCAGAAAGGTGAACCACAGCATGAACAAATGCCATAATCAGGTTGAACTTCTACAATATCCGCCATACTTACTGGTAGCAATCGTTTTAAACAAGTCTGCCAACACTCTGAAAAAATAAGTAAAAGTCGATAGAAATGTCTAATTTTTTGGAAGTGGATTCAAAGATTTTGGAAAATAACCTCTTACTCGTTAGTATCATTCTACTTATTGCTAAAATTGATAGTGCATTTTTACTCTTTTAATTTATTATTGATTTTAGTGTGACTCCGCTCTTCAAGATGCTAATTTAAAAACAATTATAAATTCTAACGACTTTTTCTCAACAGAAAACAAAACTTGGAAAAGTGTAACGCCGATTCCAGGTAAAAAAAATTTTTGTAAAAAATTTATGTTATTTAATTCTCCTATTGAAAACATTTATATTTTAATAAAGTATATATTTTATTTTTCTAAAGAGTTATTAGTATTTGTTACTACTAACTGATTTTCGTGGTAAATGCAAAGTTATTAATTATTAAAAAATATAGTGATTTTAAATTTGTTTTCATGTTTATTATTTATTTAAAAAAATTAAAGTTTTACTTTTTATTTTAATATTTACCGAAGAATAAATCTTAATAACATACCAAAAATAATAATAATAATAAAAGTACTCACAAATGAAAGACAAATGTTTTAAACTGTTTTAATAAATTTTGGCTTGAGTTGCTTGTTCTTGCCTGCCAAATCCTTATACTTAATTAAATTAATATTTATTTACAGGATGCTGTGTTAAAACATCTGATATTAAAAATAATAAAATTTTTGTAAATATATGTCAAATAGACGATATTCCTCAGCCAAAAGATATAACAGATGAAAAACTTTTAGAAATATGGCAATCAGAGGAAATAACTGATTATAGGATACCACTGAGTATTCAAGAACCTCATGATGAATTAGATAAATGTAAGTTTTATTAATTTTATGTTAGTAACATTTAAGTTATGTTTACATTAGTTAAATATATTACAATCACTGAAATAAAATAATTTTATTTTTAAATATTTATTTTTGTGAATAAACAAAACATTTTGTGATCAGTTTTTTGCTTTTTCATAAATAATTATGTTTTTCTAGTGCTATCTAATTAAGTAATTAGTTAAAATCAAATATTTTTCATTTTAACTTATTTATACATAACGTAAAAATTTTATTATTTTATTTTTTAGCAGGAAAATTGGCTGTAGCTTATGATGTAGCTTTAAATTCAAAATTTTTTAATAAATTTTTAAACAGTGCTATATTGAAATCTTTTGTCCTGCAAGTGATTTTTGAGGGAATAGAAAACAAATATAATTGTTCATTAAAAAAAGAAGGTAAAATTTTGAATTTTTCTCATTCAAAGTTTTCAAAACTGATTTCGTTAAATTTTCAATTTAAAACAAGGCCTAATTACATAACATTTGTTTCAAATTAATTTTATTAACATTTGTAGGGTATGTCATTCTTCAAAACAGAAAATGTTATGGAGAACTTAAACCACACAGAATAAGAATGAATAATGCACAAAAAGTGCCTCAAAAGAATCTCATTGAAGAAATACCTGCAACTGTAACTCATAAATCATCTAATTTAATGAAACATCAACAACAAAAAGAAATTAAATTCAGGTTATTTGAAAACAAACTATTCAAGTTTATTGTTGGAGAATTTCATTTGAAACCAGTTGTAAGTTATGCATAAAAATTAGTTTTTGTTTTTTTATTACATTTGGTGATTGCCTCCCAAAATTATAAACGTTAGTTATAAATTTAATTAAATTGAAAAACAAACCAATAAGTATTGTTACCATGTTTTATTTATTTAATTTAATTTATTTGAACTTTGTTTCTTAATTACTATATATTTATATTGTTTCTTCTTTGATAATTTAGGCATCCTTTTCTTAAAAATTGTGTTTAAAACTTATTAATATAAATTATTAGTTTTATGACTGTTTCAAAATTCTTTAAGTTAATTATTTGTTTTTAAAATTTTTTTTAGATTTCAATAGAAGCCATTACATTGGACATAGGGGAAGACAGATTGATTCTCGAAGGGAAAAATAATGTTGGAACGCTAGACTTATTTCTTCCAGTTAAAATTGATGAAACAAAAGTTTCTGCTTTTTTTAATAAAAAAATGAAATTCCTTATTGTTATAATGCCTATATTGTGTTCATATCAATAAAATATTATTTTAAATAACTTATATTTCTTGTATTTTATTTAATTATTACCTGATAATATTATTGGGATTTTATAATTTAATTTTAAACTTTATTCCACAAGTACATTTAAATGTAATAAAATCATCTAAGTAAATTCATAAATAATTATTCACCATAAAATGTGTTCCTCATTTTATAATTTAACTCATTTGAAAATAAAAAAATTACTAACCTGAGTTATAACAATTTATTTAATCCGAAAAAAGTATATTTTTAATTTTTTTTTTTTTTTTTTTTTTACTACTAAACTGACGAAACGAAATAAAATGTATTTATTTCCCTAATAAATGTAATAATTTTTATTTAAAATATATATTTTTAACGCTAAATAAAAAAAAAAAAACATTAATTTTTTACAGAATGATTTTTTTTAAAAACGATGAATCAACCTATAAGGTTAAAAAATAAACAGATTTTTAAATGAATCATTCTAAATGCTAATACAAAGATAATAAAACAAATTCAAATAATTATTCTTTTTTTTTTTGTTTAAATAATAACCTAGATTAATTACATAAATTTAAGTAATTTTTTTCGAAAACAAGAATTTTGTTGGAATATCATTTACTCAGTTATAATATTCTTAAATAAAGCTGTGATTTTTAAATAATTAAATAAAATTACGAATAAATTGTGGCTTGTTGTATTTTCAAAAATGTTTTCTTTAACGGAAACGTAAAATGGCGAAACCGATTATTCGTGGCAATAATGATAACGACACTTTTTGTTTTTCAAAAATCAAAATGTCACTTTACTTGTTTTTACCGAATTTTACTTATGAAATAAACCCTTTTAAATAAAGTATTTAATATTTTAAGTTTTAATTTTAGTGATGCTATTCATTTAAAAAAAAAATTTTACGGTTTTTTATTTTCGATGTAATGGTGAAAACCTAAACAATCAAACAAATACTTAAACTTAATATTTAAATTAAAATACTAATTATAACGGTGTTTTTTGTCAACTGGTTTTTTATTTTTATTTATTTTTTATTACTTTTTTGAAATTTATTTAATGATTCATCTATCAAAGTTCAAATTGTTATTTCGTAAATTACGGCAAAGAGTAAAGAGTGGTTTAGTTTAAAAATGATAACTATCGATAGAAAATCCTATTATGTTCTTGGAACAGGAATATTTTTTTTTCTTAGCGGTGTTATTCTTGTTTTATTGTGGCCTATAGTTTTTAATAGTTTTTGGGAAAAAGTTTTAGTTTTAAATCCGGACTCTGAATCGTATAAACTATGGATAAAAACACCTATGCCTCTATTTCTGGAAATTTATTTATTCAACTGGACTAACTCTGAGGAATTTTTAAAAAATAAAACAATAAAACCTGATTTTTCAGAGGTAGGACCTTTTGTTTTCCAAGAAATTCATGAAAAATTAAATATTTCATGGAACGATGATAATACTGTAACCTACAATCAGAAGAGAACGTGGTATTTTATACCTGAAAAATCAGTTGATCTCTTAGTTCCAATAACCAACCTCAATGTTGTAGTTTATGTAAGTCTATTATTGTCTATATATAAAACAAATCAATTGATTCCAAAGCTTATTTATTGTTTTTCTTATTAATTTTTAGACCATAGCAAAAAAAGCTTCTAACTTAAATATTTTAAAAAAAGAATTGATAAATTTTTTAATATATAAATACAAGGAAGGATTAATAATACAAAAGCCAGCAAAGCAGTGGTTATTTGAAGGAATCAACGATAGTTTGTTAAATTTTATTAATAAAATAAATCCTAAATTAAGTCCATATGATAAATTTGGTTGGTTTTATGGGAGAAATGAATCATCAACTTATGATGGCCTATTTAATGTAAAAACAGGGAGTGATGATATACACAACCTTGGTGTGATTAATAAATGGAACAATGAACATCAAACTAAATTTTTTGATGGAAATTGTGGTATTGTACAAGGGTCAACAAGCGAACTGTTTCCTCCTTTGAATAATTCACAAGGAGATTTAAATCTTTTTATTTCTGATTTTTGCAGGTTAGATTTGAATCTTTCAAAAACTGAATACTCAATCATTAAATATATATATACCCAAAACATTTTAAAACAAGCAATTTTTTACTAATCAATAAAATTTTGATATTTTTATACGAGTACCACACTTTCAGAACTTATTTATGTTAAAAAAAAAAATGTCACATCAAAATATTCAATTTACTCAATATTATTTCGATTCATAAAAATAATAGATGAAAGAAATGTTTTTTTTTTTTTTTATTTCTATTTTAGTCCAGTATCATTAACTAAATCTGGCACAACTGTGATCAGTGATTTGGAAGGATATTATTATACAGGGAATGAAAATGTTTTCGATAATGGGAGTTCATTTCCAAATTCTAAATGTTACTGCAGTGAAGAATGTAGTCCAAGTGGAGTAAGAAATGAAACATTATGTAAAGGAGCACCTGTATTCCTGTCTTTCCCACATTTTTATCTAGCTGATTCATCTTATGTGAATTCAGTGACTGGGTTAAGTCCCAACAAAAGCAAACATGAACTTTACATGATTATTAATCCAGTAGGTTTATTCAAATAATTTTTCATTTGTCAATTCTGTTCTATTAATTCAAAATTTTAGAGTGGTTAAAGGCATTTTTTTTATTACACTTTAAAGAGTCAGTTTTATTAACGTTAAAAAAAAATTTAAATACTTGAAAAAATTAAATTTCAATTCTGATAAATGATATTTGATAAATCAATTATAATTTTAGATACTTAAAATCAATATTTGGAACTTATGTACCTGAACAAATTTAATTTGTTTTAAATATCAAGATGTTTTCTTTTACTGTTTTTTTAAAAGCACATTTAAATAATATAAACCTGTTTGTTGCAAAAAAAAAAAAAAAATCCATTTAAATGAAAATTTTCAAATTATTTTCACATATTCATGTAAGTTTTTTTTTTTTTTTTCAGTTAACTGGACTACCGTTAGATGTAAGAGCTCAATTTCAAATAAATATCTTGCTTGAATCTCTACCCTTGTTTTCAATGTTTTTTAATTTACCAAAAATTTATTTGCCTATGATGTGGTTTAGGCAAAAAATAGAACTTCCTGAAAAATTGGTATCAATGGGAAAAGCTTTGCAATTTTCGAAAAATTTAGGCTACGGAATGGGTTTTACCATATCCTTGTTTGGATTTTTAATGGCAATAATCAGAATGATGTATATAAGTTTTAAAAAAACATGATACACGTGCATCCATTTTTTAGTCAAGGCAAGTTCAAAGGTATGTAAAATAAAGCAATAATTTACTTTAAAATTTTAATATTTTTTTTATAAAATATTTGTTTGGAAAAATCTCGTATTTGAAAGACTTCAGGAAAATTAATAAAATGTTCTGTAAAATATTTTAAAAAAAAAAAAAATATTTAGAATTGAAACTTTTTTTTTTTTTTATCTGAAACTGGACAAAAAAGTAGTCGAGAAAAAATCGTATCGAAAATATTCTAAAGTTAATTTATATAGTAAATTTTAATTATATAAATTTATAGACGCCAAGTATCTTTAATTTATTTGCGAAATTATATTTCATGTCGGTCGACGGTAATTTAAGATAGAATAATTATTATTATCGGGTAGCTTTTTTTTTTTTTTTTAAATAAAGAACATTGGTCTAACTTTAATAAAACCTGGAGAGGTTCCCTACGAGATTACGTTTGACTTAAATTGAGTTGAATAATGTTTCGGTATTTAAAAATTATTAGATTTATACAAAAATGCCTTTTCTATACAAGAATAATTGATATTCGTAACTAAAAAAAAAAAAAAATTTTTTTATCATCATTATTATTTTTAGTTTTAATTAAATCTTGAAAATCCCTTTCAAATTGTCTTTTAATGATAGCGACAAGGCTCCCAATGCTTTTTCCCATAATGCTTTGAATTATTTCGTTGCCATTGCTAACTCCAAAGGCCTACATTGAACTATACTATATTTCGGTACGGATACTTCAGTTAGTTTTCCACCACTTCTCGGAATTATGCCTCGACAGGATATCCGGTTTGTTGGCTGGCACAGTTTCGTCTGTGTATATCGTCTGTCGGTCGTACTGAATTATGCATGAATTCGCATGGAATGTATTCGTATTATTCTTTTTCAAGCGTTTCCGTTCCATATTGACGATGGGCTCGTATTCCAGTGAAAATATTTACGAATATCATTGTGCCTTTCTAAATATTCACAATGTGCCATTATTCGGGGCTTTCCTAAATTAAATTATTTTTATTAATATCCTCGTGTGACACTCATTTTTTTTTTTTTTTATATTAATATTTTTATGTTGATTCAATGACTTGGTAAAATCTTTATCTATTCGGTAACTTTTTCATAAAGAAAATTTTGACGGCGAGTTTAGACGTGGATGGCGTTATTACAAAAAAAAAAAAAAAAAAAAAAAAAAAAATAGATCAAAGGCTATCATAAATTTATATTCGATTAAAAATAATTCAAGGGCTCGGCAAAGAACTTATCATCTCCTCGATAAGTAATTTATTTGAAAACTTAGGAAAATCCGAGATTTGCAATAAAATAAATAACAAAAACACTCCGTTAAAGTTTAATATATGTAAAAAATATACCTGGTGTAATAAAAGTTCACGTAATAAAAAAAAAAAAATTCATATAAAAGCATTTTCCAAACTGAAAATTAAAGTTATGAATAATAACAATACTTTTTTTTTAAATTCATATGTATGTTAGTATATAAATAAGTATAATATGCGTATATATATATATATATATACATGTATGCATATGAACTGCACTATACTTTTAAATGCACGCTACAGACATAAGTTTAAAAAAAAAAAAAAAAAAAAAAAAACTAATATGTAAACTTATTATCCCTGAGATGTTTTGAATGTCCTAAAGGTCAATAAAAAAAAAAAAAAAATTATTGAATGTTTATTTAAAAAGCAATCAATGTAAATGTAAAATTTTCAATGTAAAAATTTGCTGTAATTACTTTATTAAGCGTTACGCAATCTTATTAAGTTCAGTTTATTTTTTAATAAACTAACATAAAATACTCCGTGCGAATGAATAAATAAATGTGTATGTACATTTATATATATATAAATATATATATTATTTTGTTATATAGCGGGTAATAATAATAATAATAATGTTTTCGCGTTTAAATTAAAAATTAATGTTATATTATTTTAAAAAAATTTAATTAATAAACGTTATAAAATTAAATTTCATTTAAAAAATTTTTTTTAATAATTATTTTATCTTTCCTCTGGATATATACGTATTTATAATTTAATTAATTTTCACATATATTTGCATGTGTATAAAAACTATTGGATAACATACATAGAAGAATCGAAAGAACGCTGGAAAATTAAATTAGCTTTTTTTTGTTTAAAAAAAAAAAAAATATTTTTTAAACGTAATTTTCACAGTAAAAAATGTGTGGAGATAATATAAGAATGAATAGAAATTATTTTCTCGCTGGAATGTTTTCCATTCTATTGGGTTTATTTCTTTTAGTATTTTGGGAAAACATACAAGAAAAAATTGCATCAGAGGTAAGTGAAATTCATTTTTTCATTTTTTTCATTTAGTCAACGCAAAAAAAAAATTTTATTAATAAAAATTTATGTAAATTTTGTTGTTGCTGATTATTATTATTATTATTATTATTATTATTATTATTATTATTATTATTATTAATTTAATAAATAGTCCAATAAGACATAAGTCAAATAAGTTAAGTTATACCCTATAAGATAAGTTGTAAAATAAAAAAAGCAAAATTTAATAAAATACATTGATTGTAATTAACAGAAATTCAAACTATCAGAAACTTCTAAAACCTACGATCCTTGGGTTGAATCAAGAGTACCAATTTATGTTCAATATTATTTTTTTAATTGGACGAATCCCACAAATTTAAAAAATGCTTCCTACAAACCCCAGTTTGAGGAAGTTGGGCCCTACAAATTTTGGTAAGTTTTATTTTTTTTATTTTTTTTTTTTTTTGTACGTCACAAAAATCGTCACGTGGTTAATTAAATTAGTTTTTTGAAGTATACTTTAGTTACGTTATTTTCTCCTAATAAATTTTAAAATCAATAAATCGACATTTCATTATTCTAACTTGACAAAACTCAATTTATCGACAGGAAGAAAAAAAAAATTTAAATACGGAACCGGAAGCGGTGAAATTTCACGTCTACGAATAACGGTTAATTAACAACAACTGAACGAGGGGGAGGATCTTTTACATATAAATAATTATACGCGGGGTTACCTCTATAAAATAATTAACAATTTTAATTTAGTTTAATATCTTAAATGATTTTTTTTTTTTTAAATTTTTAATTTCAGGGAAAAAATTGAAAAGGTGAACATAACTTGGAATAAAAACGGTACCGTAACTTATAGACGAATCCGCAGATGGTACTTTGACAAGAATGGATCAAAAGGTAGTCTCAGCGACAAGATTACCACCATAAATGTTATAGCTCTTGTAAGAATTTATTACTAACCTACATATCAAACGTTAATAATTTTATTAAATTTTTTTATTCTGGCTTTAATATCGCCGGAAAAAATTAAAATACGGCTATTTTAAAGTTTAAGAGAAAAGTAAAAATTTCAATCAGTTTGACGGAAAAATTAATTTAAAATTTTTTTTTCGTCTTATACCTAAGTAAATTTGTTTTTTTTTTCCCCTCCCCGATACAATTATTTAATAATTTTTTAAGGGATCTGTTACACCATTAATAAATAAAAATATCAGAAATATGTTTTTACTCATCGAGACTAACAACATTAAATTATTTTAAATGTTGACTATCTCACGTCTTTTTTGTCTGATATTAAATTTATTATACAAAAAGAACCCTAATTTAAAAAAAAAAAAAAAAAATAGTAAAATATCCGTCGTAAGTCTTAACTTATTTAAATTAAAAATACACCGTGGTATAAATAAGCTGAGGGGGAAAAAATGAAAAATTTTATGCGACCTTCAATATAAAAAAAGAAATATTTGAATTCATGTTAAAACACGTTCAAAATTTATTTTCATTCATATTGAAACGAATTTTCCAGATGGATTCTCTTACATTGGAACTTTGACACATTGCGTCTGTTACGTTACGACAATATTATTTTCAGATGGCGGCAAACATGGTAAAACCTATGCCATCGCTAGGTAGATTAGCCTTAAGTATGATGATAGCTAGCACCCAGAACATATTTGTCAAAAAAACAGTTTCTGAATTTTTATTCGAGGGATATTTTGATCCTTTACTAACCGCCGGTCGAGGTTGGCCAACGACATCTTCAAAGGTTCCATACGACAAGTTTGGATGGTTTTACAAGGTTTAAAATTCATTTTAAAAAACATTTTAATTTAATTTTAAATAATTTGGTGAGTAAAAAACAAAAAAAAAAAAAACATTTTCAGAGAAACGGATCTCAAACTTTCGACGGAGTGTATACCGTGCAAACAGGTGAAAACGGAATGGAATATTTTGGTTCTGTGACTTTATGGAATTATAAAAATCATACTGAATTTTACGAAGGAAGTTGCGGAGAAGTAAAAGGTTCTGGAGGAGAATTTTGGCCGTGGAAAATAAAAAAAAATACCGACATATATTTGTTTTCACCAGACTTATGTAGGTGCGAATGCTTTAAAACCCGTATTTACGTTAAGTAAAAAATTATTAACATTCTTTTTTTTAAAAAAAAAAAAAAACGTTAAGAAAATATTTTTTTCTCGTATATTTTTAGACGTTTTAATATTAATTTAAATAATTTATTATTTAAAGCATGAAATTACGCATTCACGTTTCGCTATTTAAACCAAATATGTAATAGAATAAAAACCCAAAGAAACTTTTAAAATTAAATGATTTTTTAATACCTAATAATAATATAAAAATGTCTACCTTTTTTTTTTCCTTTTTTATATGTACAATGCAGATACATACAATATAAGTATTCGCACGAAGTAAGAATCAGTGATGTGAACGGATTTAAATACGTGGCAGATTCAAATTTATTTGATAACGGTACAAATGTGACCGGAAATGAATGTTTTTGCAATGGTCAATGTCTTCCATCTGGGGTATTGAACATTAGCACGTGCCGGTATGGAGCTCCTGTTTTTACATCGTATCCGCATTTCTACAGAGCAGACAAGGCATATTTATCTGCCGTAAACGGACTAAAACCGAACAAGAGTAAACATGAAAATTACGTAGCCTTGGAACCGGTGGGTTTAAAAAAAAAAAAAAAAAAAAATTATTTTTTTTTAGTAGAGGTTTAAAAAAAATTTTTTTTTTTGTTTTTTTTTTTTTTCAGACTTACGGGATACCTCTTGAAATTGCTGCACGCATTCAAATAAATGTTCTTGTGAAACCAAACCCTTTCATAGCGTGAGCCAATGTTTATATTTTAATATCATCATTATTAAATTATCAAAAAAATAAAAATTACACTAATTAAATATTTTTTAATTTCAGGCTTCTAGACGGTGTTCAACAAGTAATATTTCCTGTTTTTTGGTTAGATCAAAAAGTTATAGTTCCCTCAGAAAGACTTGTTGAAATTCAACTTTTACTCATATTACCCAAAGCTATTTTTGCTGTGTCAATAACATTGATTTTTCTAGGAATATTATCCATTTTTTTATTCAGTTGTCGGAAATCGAGGCAAACCCGAAAGGAATTGAATTTGATCAAGCACAGGTTGACAACATTGTTTTCGGAAAACCGTTCAAACTAAATGATAATCAAATAATTTTTTTTTATTATTTAGAAACGAAAATAAAAATCATAAAAATTATGAGACGTACTTAAAAAAGTACAACTTCTCAATAATAAATAATAAAAATATACCTGAGAGTCCAAAAATCAAATCGGTGAAATTACTTGAAACAGATATTTAACGACCAGAGTGAATGGCAGTTACGATAATAAATGATTGGATAAGTTTCGTTTGTAAAAATACAAAAACTGGTAACTATAAAATCATATTTATAGCAAACGGGCAAACCGAGTTTTTAAATATGAATTTTTAACTTACAACACACAATATAAATTAAATTAATAAATTTGAAAAAAAAAAAAAAAAAAAACACATTGATTCCTTTTTTGCAAAGTATTTTTTTAAAAAAGAAAAAAGAGAGAGAGAGAGAGAGAGAAAGAGAAGAAAAGAAGAAAGCTAATGTAATTGTAATAAATTTTAATAAGTCATGATTTGTATTATTAACTTAAACCGCTAAAAAAAAAAATTCAAAATGTTATTATACATACAGACGAAGAAGGTATGTAAAGCTTTTTGTGTTGTGTTAATGGAGGTCGAACTATCGTTATCTAAGGACAATTTATCAAGAATAAACTTTGGAAGATCTAAAAATGTCCTACTTGGCCCTACATAAAGTATAAAATCCCTTAAATTTGTCACATTAACCGGATCAGAATTTGTGCTCATCCATATTGTAAGAGTTGTGAAATTGGATTGTTGATAACTGAAAATGAGTTGTGTTATGTTTTAAAACAATAAAACAGTGTCATTATCATGTTATTGGTTAAAGCAAAATAAAATTTTTTAATTGTTAATTAATTGTTTTAAATTTTTTTGGAATTTTAATACAAAAAAATTGAAATACTTACTCATTTATTTTATCCATCAATGTTTTTATTTCAAAAGTATTGGCTGCGATGCCGGCGCGTACACAAAGTGTAACAGGTTGTTGAATATTATTTTTTTTTAATATTAATAACATTTCATTTAATTGCTCTTGTGAATAACTTCCTTCCATTCCAGGTCCATATCTTGTAGTCCACCCAAGTGAAAGTGTGCTTGAAGGAAATTTTTTCGATGATAGAGATAAGAATATGTCTGGATCCACAGGTTTTATTGTACTGTCAATAGGTCCAGACAAAATGTCTGCATTTAAAAAGAATGGAAATGTAATCTGAAAAGAAACATCATTATTAGTTTAAATATAAACAATTTTTATGAAAAACAAAAAAAAAACTATGTACAAAAGTGAAATTTTTCTAAAAAATTAATTGAGTCAATAGTCAAATAGGTTTGTCAAAGTGTTTACCTGTCTCAAAATGCAAAATGAGGTGAATAAATGATAACCTTTTAATTAAAAATATTTAAAGTCCTTTTCACCATTCGAAAACTACTTAATTTGAATTTATTTGTTTTTTTTTTTTTTTTATGATAATGAATTTTCATGATTTGAATCCTACATTTTGATATTATGAGTATATCATGTAATTTTTGTATTAAAAATATTATTATCATTTCCCATTATGAACTGTAAACTGTAAGTTTTTGTCATAATTAGTAAAATAATTTAAAATTAAAATATAAAACATGACACATACAATAATTTTGTTTTTTTTTTTTTTTTTTAAAGTTTTAAAAAAAAAAGAGTAAATGAATGAAAAAAAAACTATAAAACCTTTGATTTAATTAAGTCAATCGCGCTCCATGAAGCATTAAAACTTTCTGTTGTCTTGAAATCCAATTTGACTCCCTTTTTGTGTTCGGATTGAAATTTTATCACTGCTTCCAAGAATTCTAACAATGTAAGATCGGATACAGTTGTCGGAGGATGTCCCATCACGGGCTGAAGTCCGTCTTGTCCTGTTCTAGATCCTAAAATCACATCAGCTTCCAACATCATTATTTTAGAATCCTTTAAGGCTGAACTTAAAGCCGTCTGATTGTTGACGGCATGAGCCCAAACAACTTTGTTTAAATTTCCATTGATTTCCGGGAAGAACTCGGCAACGGTGGGAATCATATTATCCGTACACTTCCCGAATTCAAAAATTATACAAAATAACACTGGAAAAATTATTTTTTAATAATTAACTTTAAAATAAAAAATGAAAAATAATAATAAAATGCATAAATGGCTAAAACATTAATTATATTTTTCTTATCAAATTCATTGACTTACTAAATAATTTAATAATAATATTAATCTTAAAAGTTTTCATTTTAATATAACTATTATTGTACCTAAATTTTAATTGAAAATCATTTATACCTATTGTCAGAAAAAATAAAAAAAAAAAATGTTTAGAACAACTTAAATTTCAATTAACATTGTTACATAACCAGAAAAAAAAAACCAAATATACACAATTGTATTAACCTTAACATTTTTAATTACTAATATCGACTGTAGAGGATGTTACCATCAGATTTTTCTTTTTTTTTTTTGTTTAATGCACATGTTCATTGTGTTTATTGTTTCTGATATTTTTTATATGTGATTGTCATCAATTTTTTTTTTTTTTTTTTTTTCAAAACGGACTGGAATAAAAATTCCAAAAAGGAAAAAAAAAATTTATTTGATTTCTAAAAAATTTTCTCATATCAAAAATGTTTTTTTTTTTTTAAAGAATAAATAATCTTCTGATTACTTCATTTGAAATCAATGACAATGATTTAATTATATTGCCTCTAAAAAAAAGTAAAATAAATTTTTTTTGTTTTTTTGTTTTTTTTTTTTTTTAATCATTTAACAAAAAGATTAAGAATGTAAAACATTTTTAGTTAAAATTTATACAGGCGTACCTTAAAAATTTCATTTGCACAAAATTAATAATGGTAATGAAAAGAGCAAAATTCAATAACTATTATTTAAAAAAAGAAATTCGTGACAAATTCCATGGAATAAGGTATTTAAAAAATATATTTTTTGAAAAAATGCGTGATCAATAGAATAATGAAGGATTTTATAATAGAAAATCTTGCAAAAAATGTGACTAAACCCCTGTTCGGATTTTTTCTTCTAAAGATTCAAAAAAAAATTAATAATGATAATGTATTATAACACATGATACACAAATACAGGATAACAATACGATACCTTTCGAACACATTTTAAAATATACCATTATCATAAAGCATTTTATTATTTACGAAAAGTCAAAAAAAAAAAAAAAAAAAAATACAATAAATATACGCGAGTAATTTACACTAAAATTTTCTTCTTTTTTTTTTCAAAATAAAATTCATTTACAATCCACGAAGCAAAATAATATATATATATTCTTCAAAAAAAAAAAAACAAATCATACTCAATTGAAAAACGTTTCAACATTTACTTTAATTAGCCTAAAAAAAAATTTTTGGTTTTTGGCACGATTTATTTTAATTCAGGATGCATGCATGTATGCACACATTTATATTGTCTTCCCTCTCCAAAAAAAATATATATATATATATATATATATATATATATATATATATATATATATATATATATACGCGGGTATATATACATGTATATATACGTATATACATATTTGCATGTTATAAAGTTCAATGACCTCTTCCCATGATAAATTTTGAATAAACTTGAAAGAGAATTTTTTTTAAAATTTGAAATACTCAAATAAGTTGACCCTAATTTTTTAAAATTTTTAATTAATTAATTAGCCTTAAGCTTTTTGAAATCAAAAATTTTTTATTTTTTTTATTTTTAAAATTTATAGAAAAAAAAAAAAAAAAAAAAAATTTTTTTTATTGTATAACAATAGAAAATATTTATTTTTCAAGGTGAGATTTATGATTAAAAAAAAAAATTTCTTTTTTAACAACTTATTGTAAATTATTTCTACAAAAAAAAAAAAAAAAAAAAAAAAGTAAAATGATGAAAGTCGATTTTTAATTTCTTTTCAACTTTATACTACTAAAATAAAAAAAAAAAAAAAAATTTAAATAAGTAAAAGTAAAAATAAATACCGTGATTAATGTTATTTAAGTTAAAAAAATTTTTTTTTTTTAAATGAGAATATTTTTTAATATAAATTTGTATATGGAACAAATAGTCTGTGGGAAAATTTTATTTTTAACAAAAATAAAATGTAAAATGTAAAAAAAAAGATTTAATTTTTTAAAATTAATACGTATCCCCTTATATGCAATTATTATTATTATTTTTTTTTTTAAATGTTGGTTCTGATAAATGTAATCATTTTTCAGGGAACGTAATAAAAAAAAAAAAATTTTTTTTTTTTATTGATCTTTTACGAGTTTCCTACACGAAATTCAACACAAAAAAAAAAAAAAAACATGGTGTCCGAGTTTTTATTTAAGTAAAAAACCATTTTAATTAATTACTTTAAATTACCAAGAGAAAATTTACGACGATCTCTATGAACCTAATTTTAAAATTATTTTAATTAACTGACTCCTCGCGTGAATTATCATAACAAATAATAATAATAATAATAAAAACTTTATTACTTATTTTACAAAAAAAAAAAAAATTCAAATGCAAAACAATAATAATATGGTTTTTTTTTTTTTTTTTCTTTTACAGCGAAATCCTAGTTTGTTACGTCAAACGACGACGTACGACATTTTTTTTTTTTTTTCCACGCCATATTTTATTACATAATATGTATATATTTTCTTACAAACAATTACTTTTAGTGAATTCAAAAAAAAGTAATTCATTTAAAATTTTTTGTTATTTATTATTATTATTATTATTATTATTATTATTATTATTATTAAATAATATTTTATTTAATATTTAAAAGTACCTCGTCGCGTAATTTTTTAATTTTTCCATTGAAAAAAATTAATTTCATTTATCAAATGAATTAAGATTGTTTAAAAAAAAAAAAAAAAAAAATTATATCTTTGTGTAAAAAGGGATGGAGAATGAATGAATTCATTCTTTTTCTTATCATTATTATTTTCTTTTCTACATGTATATTATGTTACACATATATATGAGATCACGTGAACTGGAAATGAATTGAATTACCTTTACAAAAAAAAAAAAAAAAAAAAAAAAATCACCCCCGCATAAGTCATATTGTTGGCATATATAGAATAAATTATTAATATATAAAAAATATTAACCAGTGACCCAAAAAAAAATGAAAAAACTTCCGTATTCGAAGAAAAAAAAAAAAATATTCGATCATAAAAAAAAAAAAAAAAATGTTGGCCAAGCACAAAGGTATAGACAAAGATCGTTTGTGTGTGTGCGCGTGCATGCGTGAGCGTGTTGTAGTATTATTATTATTATTTTATTTTATTAAATATTTTCTTTATTTTATTTTAAGGTTTTATGTGCATCATTTTTTTTTTTTTTTTATGATTCAGTCTCAGTTACCTACTAATGTAGGTAAATGCCTTTTAGCAATATTAATTTCAGTAATAATATTTTAAAATGTCAAGTATTTATTTTTTCTTTTTTTTTCTATTTAGAATTAGGCAGGATTGGATAATAATAATAATAATAATAATGTTTTATTTATTAATCATTTTCGGTTAGATATTTTTGAAATAATTTCGATTTATAATATTATCATTGTTGATCGAGTAATTATTAATATTTTTCAGAGTTTTCTTAAAATATAAATATTTACATAAATAATTTGTATAATTATTGATTATAAATGAGATAATATATTTTTTTTTTGCTTTTGAAACTACAGCCTGTATAGGTCTATGTAAGTCTATCTCTTTTTATTTATCAAAAGTTTTTTTTTTTTTTTTTTTTTTGTCTTTCTTTTAAAATTTTACTTATATATTGAAAAAGTTGAAAAGAATACGGACGACTATGGTTAAGTACAATATAATTTCACAAACTTAAAATTTTTTTTTTTTTTTTAAAAAGAAAAAACAAAGTATTAAATAATAATAAGCGTTTTTTTTTCAATTGTACGAAATGTATATAATTATTACCATTATTATTATTATTATTTTTATTGTTATTATCATTATTCTTAACAATGGAAAGAAGAAGAGAAAAAAAGAAAAAAAAAAAAAGGCAAATATAAAAATTTATTGTTGGATGCGAGTTTTTTCTGTAAAGGAATGTAGTATTTTGAGCGCCAACTTAAGTTCATTGCTTGGCACGTACGATGCGACGTTAGATAAAAAAGAGTTTTTGCACACTTGATATTTTTACTTGTCACTATATAACCGGTTAAATACAAATTTAATAATAAAAAAAAATAAATAAATGCATCATAGAAAATGCACGAACTTTATTCACCACGAGCAGACTGCGGCTGTGGCTGTTTGTTTTCGATCTCAGTTCTCGGAGTCCAGTTTAAAGAAAACGTACTGGAGAATAATAATAATAATAGTAATAATCATTTTATAACGTGTCAATAATTCCGCGGATCACGTTTTTTTTTTTTTTTTCTTTTTTTTCTTTCATCGTAACTGCTTATTATCATCATCGTTTGTGTTTTATTATTATTATTAACCGAAAAATAAAATTCGAATATGTTAGTTTTTTTTAAGTTACCGTAACATTGTGTGTTTTCCTTTCGAATGTTAATGTAATTATTTGTAAATTGTTATGTCGTAAATGATCTGGTAAGTAATACAAATATATATATATATAAATTGAAATCGAGATAAGTAAAAAAACGACTCGTTTATAACGACTCGTGTGTCGCGGATTTTGGATTATTTTTATCACGCGTTTAAAATAAATGAGATTCGATATATAAAAAAAAAAATTAAAAGAAAACAAGTGGGTCTTAACAATTATTATAATTGATTTGTCAATCAAATAAATTGTTTATTATTATTATTATTTTTTTTTAGTTCAAATACATGATCCATACGTACACGTTTCACACGCACTTGCACACATATATATATATATATATTTATACATGTAACGTTTTTTTCTTTTTCGAGTCTATTTTTATTACGAATCATTAAAATCAATTATATTGTTTTAAAGAAGAAAATTACAATTTTAAAAATAGATTCGAAAAAAAAAAAAAAACTATAAGAGATTTTAAAAATACGGATTTGAATTTAATAAAGAAACATTTTATTTCTTCCTCCTCCATTTTATTTTTTTTCTTTTCTTTTCTTTTCTTATGTTACAGCTAATATTTTTTTGTTTCGTCACAACGACAACGTTTTATTTTTATTTTTCTTAATAGTCATGTTTAAATAAAATGAAAAAATATTATTTTTTTTTTAATAATACTTGAATAATATTTTTCTAATAGATATTATTAGTTAAGTATTTTAATTCTTATAATTGACCTTAGGTGAACTATAAATTTCTGACTCAATTTTTATTTAATTAAACTAGGAGTATATTAATAAGAAAAAATTAAATATTATTTTCGTTTTACATAAATATACTCGTGTACGAGTTTAAATGTGCTACGACCGAAAATAAATAAATTTTCAAATCGGACAAAAATTTGAGTTCATTCGAATATTTTTTTCCGTAATTGTCATTTGCGAGTATCTAGTACATTTCACGTAAATAAATGATCATAAAATATGTTACCTAATTTTTTGAACCTTGAAAACTGATTATATGTAAGTTCGGGTGATAGCAAAAAAAAAAAAAAAAATAAAATATTAAATTAAAATAATGTTTTTTTTTTTTTTTTAAATTTTGCACACAAATGAATGAGAAATTAAAATTTATTACCCGTGAATACTCATTCAACAATGAATGGGATTCAAAATGTGTGTGTGTGTGTGTGTGTGCGTGAAATAATAAGGCACGATTAAAATGTACCGAAATTTCATTGTACAAATGTTTTTATACCTCAAATACCCATTACAATTCAAATCAAATTATTTTCGCGGAAAATATTAACTAATAAAAAAGAAAAACTTTTTTTTTTTTTTTTTTTTTTTTGAATCTTCCGGATAATTAAATAAAATAAATGTGTGTGTGTGTGTGCGTGTGCGTGTGCGCGCGCACGTGTGTTTAATTTAAATTTAAAAAACTAAATTTATGTGTTTCAAAAAAATAAATTTAATGTTATTTTTAGTGCTTCTGTTGATACACACGAATTAAATTTATTTATTTATTTATTTTTTTTTTCAATTAAATATTAATTTCAAAAAAAAAATTTTTTTGAAATCTAAAATTGTCGTTAAAAAAAAAAAAAAAAAAAATTACCAGACAGAATTAGTTACTTCAATTTTAAGTTAGCACTAAAAAAAAAGTCGTAAATTTGAATTATAATTATTATTTCGGTCTTGGCATAAAACCATAATATTACGAAACATTATTGACGTACAGCTGATATATATATATATATATATATATATATTCTAAATATTTAATTTTAACTTCCGGGATTAAGGTTGGTTTTGTTTGCCCCTTTCCAAAAAAAAAAAAAAAAAAAATCAATCACAATGTTATTACTATTATTATTATTATTATTTTTTCTCTTTACCTCTCTCTATATAATACGAAAATGTTAACAATTATATACTTATTTCTTGCGAGTTTATGTTTTTCACGTGGAGAAATTGAAAAAAAAAGTACTTAATAGTTAGTTTAATAGAAATCAAAAAAAAAAAAAAAAAAAATGGATTTTATATAAATATTTTAACTTAATTAAAGAGTTTTATTTTTCTTTTTTTTTTATTCAATTCTTCGATCCGTGAAAATTTTAAAGCCTTAATAATAATAATAATATATATATATATATATATATATATATATATATATATATATATATATACATAGTTAGTTTTTATTAAAATAATGAAATCAACCATTTGAAAATATTTCGTGGCACACCTTACTAATCTCGTTGAGTCTTAAGAAGTCAAAAAAAAAAATGAATACCTATCGAAAAAATAAATTTTTTATTATTATTGTAACATCCCTATTATAATTTTTCTTTTCTTTTCTTTTTTCTTTGTCAATAAATGACTTAACAACAAACTAATCTTTATTTAAAAAGAAACAAGAATGCCATATTCAATATTATAATTTTAGATCAGGGTTCTTGCTTTATTTTTTTTTGATTTTTAGTTTCGAGTACTTTTTTCTCGCTTTATTATAAAATTAAAAATTGAGGGGGGGGGTGTTTCCGTCTCATTTATTGTAAATATTGAAATGAAATTACAAAAATCATAACCGAATATAATTTCCAACAAAAAGGTAAAATTTCACGAAAATTTTAAATGCGCATTTTTTTTTTTTGTCATTTGTCTTTTACAGATTCAGTTTGTTAACACTAATTTAAATTCAAATGTATTGACTTGATAATTTTTTTAAAATTTCAAAAATATTTTGTAAAAAAAAGTAATTTAAACAAAACGTGTACGTGATGAAGAAAAAAAAAAAATAATACAAACATAGAAACTCTACTTGTGTTAATATTTCAATTGTTCTTTCATCGATTATTTATTTAATTGACATAAAGTCTTTTTTTTAATGGCGGTTCACGTAATTTACTATAAGAATTGATAAATATAAATTTTATTTATTTCTCAAGTTCTCGAATGAAATCTCACGGATAATAATTTTTTTTAAATTAATTTTATTTTTAGGTACCGTGAACGTTCCGGTGTTTGTTATCCTTGTAATCAGCAAAAATGAAAAAATTTTATAAAAAAAAAATTGTGCAACACATTGGCGTGACGGCAGGTGAAAGAGTGGAAACTGGAGTAAGGTAGAAAAAATACTATGACATTATTTTTTTGTTTATTCCAAGAGAACTTTTATCAACTTTAACAATAAAAAAAAAAAAAAAAAAAAAGACTAAAATGCACTTCAAAAGCGTTTCGATATTATTATTTTTAATTATACTTCAATCTTCGGTTTTCATTGATTCAAGAGCTACAGTTTTAAGAATAAGTAACGAGCAAAAGTACAACAGTCAACCGGGAAGCGGTAAACTAAATTACAACAGCGTACATTTTAGACATAAAAATCATATGCTCCACAAAAAACATTATAGGTGTTATTTGGATCGGTTGTACAGCAGAAGTCACGTTTCAAAGCAGAGTAGGTATCCCATACTCGATAAAATTGTGAACCGGTTAGACAATCAAATAGATCGCGAGTTGAATAAAGTGAAAATGACGACGTCTAACCCTTTTGATTCGTGGCATGTTACAATACCTAATTTAGTTATCGATAAAAAAGACAAATTAACTTACGTAGCTGTCGGATCTAAAAACAGAACGACGGAAATGATTAATTTCGGTAGTGTTAATAATAGTCAAAACCTCATATCTAACACGGATAAAAAAAAAAATACAAACGTTCATTTACCCGTTGTTAAAGTATATGAAAACAGTATTACCTTTGAAGGCAATAGAGACCATGTAACAAAAGACATCACAACCACGAGTTCATGGGTAAGTTTTTTTATTTATTTTTTCTCCTGTTGTTACGTAACAATTTTCCCTTTTTTTTTTTTTTAAATTTTAAAATTATTTTCATGGGAAATGTATATTTATTTTTACGGTTATTTATATAGATATATATATATTTTTTTTTTACTTGTTATTTGTAATATTAATTGGTTATGATAAAGTTTTTTCAATTTACATTGAAAACGAGAACATTTTTAATTTTAGAAATGATACAACTAATTGAGTTTATGGCCCCCCCCTTTTTTTTTGTTGTTGTTTTTTAAACTCTTTGTTTCCGTCAAAATATTCAGTTATTTACCTATAAATGAAAACAATAATAGAAAACAAAAAAATTCGTTTCAGTGAAAAACGAAACGAAATTTTGTTACTTCTCTATGTAGAATTAATTTTTTTTTTTTTTTTT